ACACAGACATAGAGAACAAATGTATAGACACCAAGGGGGAATGATGGGATGAATTGGGAGATTGGGATTGACAGAGATACACGACTATGTGTAAAATAGGTAACTAATGAGAACCTACTGCACAGGGAGCTGTACTCAGTGCTCTGTGACATAAATGGAAAGGAAATCCAAAAACAAGGGGATATATGCAGTGTTGTTCAGTCGCTCAGTTGGGTCTGACTCTTTGTGACCCCATGGACTGTATGCATATAGATCGCAGACATATACCTTATAACCCCATGGATACATGTATACATATGGCTGATTCACTTTGTTGTATAGCAGAAACAGTAAAGCAACTATACTCCAAAAAATATTTTAAAAATAAAATGGTATAAATAAATAATACAAAGGTTATGTGAGTTCCCTGGTGGCCTAGTGGTTTCAATTCAGTGTTTTCACTGCCAAGGCCCAGGTTCAATCCCTGGTTGGGGAACTGAAATCCCACAAACCATGCGGTGGGGCAGAAAAAAAAAAAAAAAGGCTGAAAAAAGACATGAGACTGGGTGGGGTGCCGGAGGCTCAGCAAGACATCCCTGAGACCAAGAGTCCAGCCCCGGCCCCCTGCCCACCCGTGCAGGGGCCGCCCCTGCCTCCCTGACTTTCTGTGTCTGCACCAAACCAGGCTCTCTCCTCCCCTCCAGCTGTGTTAACAGGCGTGAGCCTGGGGAGGGCGGCTAGGTTAGGATGCATTCACTCCACAAGTAGCAGGGCAGGAGGTGAGCAGGCACTGTGAGGTAGCAAGCCGGGGGACAAAGGCCTGACTTTTCACCAGAGTGCCCTGAGCCCCTCCTGAGCCTCAGCTTCCACGTCTATAAGAACAGTTAGAACCTGCTGGCAGGCTCGTTGAGGCGGTGCATATCAGAGGCCTCCCTGGGGCCTGGCCCACAGGGCTGGGCAGGATCCTGACTCTCTAAGCTTTAAAGGACTGCCCACTGAGCAAAACCAGAACTGGGCCCCACCAGGTCAGAACCCTATCTCACTACACCTTCTCTGCCTCAATTTCTTTAGCAGTAGAATGGGTATAATAGAATTATCACTAACCCGTGCCTGGCATACAACATCTCAGCCAGTAATTATTTTTATTATCCTGGGGCACCTCTAGTTCACGCTAGAAATCCCCTCTTCCTGGGTGGCAGATCAGACAGAGTCATGTGCAGAACAGGGTTAGGTGCCAGGCACCAGGCTCCAATGTGGAAGCTGTCCCCCAGATGCCAATTCCACAGGAGACAGCAGAGAGCCACCCAGCTGCCCCAATCTCCCAGAAGCGTCCAGCCAAACAGGGAGGACATGGACACATAGTCATACATGCACACCCAGGGCCATGCATGACCACAGCTCAGAACAGCCAGAGCCTAGCACTACAACCCCACCGGTTCCTGGTGCCCTGCAGGCCCCCCAGGACATAGGATACAGTGGGGTTCAATTCCACCTCTGCCTCTTCTGTGACTTGGATCAACTCGCCCTCCCTGTATGGGCCTCCGTTTTGCATATGGAAACAGAGCTAGCGATAGCCCTCTTCTCTATGAGGGTTGAACGAGGTTACGTGTGTGAAAACTGTGCTAGGTGCCCGGCAGGTGGCATGTGCCAGTTCTTTCTCTTCCCCTCTCTCCTCTCTGCCTCCCACTTCCACCTGCCCTGCCTTTCAGGCCAGCCCCAGCATTACGGCTGCTGCCTTCCTGCACCCCGTTTAAAGCAGCCTCTCTATCTGCTTGCAACTCGATGTCACCCCTCTGTGCCCCCCTCCACCCTGGCAGCTGAAAGCACCAATCGCCAAAGCAGGGACAAGCTCCCTTGTACTCAGCAGTGCCCCCGGCAGCCTTCAGTAATTGATACCCAGAGGAGGACAGCAGAGCCGCCTTCCCACCACCACAACCGCAGGTGCGGGAGTACAGAGACCCAAATACCACTGGGTCGGCCGCAGCTGGCTCAGCTGCCTACCACCAATCCGAGTAACCGGCCACCAATCCTGGCAATCATAGTAGCGCCATGGATGGGGCCCTTGCCACATGCCAGGCCATGTTTAAAAGCTTCTCACACATCATCTTATCCAACATCCCCATGAGGAAGCGCCTGTTGCGCCCATGGTACAGATGAGGAAACTGAAGAACAGAGAAATTAGGAAACTTGCTCAAAGTCACACAGCTCACAAATGGTGACAGTATGAACCCAGGTGATCTGGCTTCAAACTTGGGCTCTTAACTCTCTACTTTTCTGCTAAGTTTATCCCCAAGCATTATAGAAATGCCCACGACTGAAGGCCTGGTGGGGAGAGGGGAAAGGGCCATGGGGTCTCCCTTCTGTGCTGAGCTAACAGAGGTGAAAACCAAGGAAAAAGAGACACTCTGACTTCTTAAAACCTAAAAATTACATCCCCAGGAATAGGATGTCAATCAGGGCACAGGCCTGACTCCCAGCGCCATCAGTCCCCTGTTTTAGAAATGAGGGCAGTCAGAGCTTGGGTCCACATCTCAAACCCACACCAAAAGTCAAGCCAGTGAATTCTGGCAGGCGTGATGGAGAGGGGGTGGGTGTATGGCAAGCCCACCTATCCAGGCCAGAGCATTTCCCTAGGCCTCCTGGGCTCTGCTAGGTGGACCCAGGCCCCTTCTGGAGCGGCTCTCACATTTCTGGTCCCCTCAGATGCCCACGTGTGGCTTCACATGGGGCAGAGCACTGACCAAGGCTGGCCACCACCCGCGCCCAGCCTTGAGTGCAGATGGAGCCTGTGCCCTGGTGTGACCCGCGGCTCCCTTCTGTCCCTGGACAGATGCTGCTGTAACCGTGGCTCCCAGATTTGCATAATGCCTCCCTGCCAGGCTCCCCGTGCCCCGCCCCCCCATGTGGGCACTGTTCCAGCACAGGTTTCTTCTCTTCCAAAGATTCCTCGGGCCATCCCATGAGTCATAAATAATCAAACATGCATCAGATGCCAGTTCCAGGTGTGCCGGATGACATCCCTTCAGACTTCTGCAGTCAGCCCCGCGGATCTGAACCTGCCCCTTCCCAGTTCTACCCCTAAGCAGCATCCCTGTAGCTGAAGCCCATGTCTGAAACAAGCACCTGGCTTGCTCTCACTCAACCGAGTGGGGCTGGGACCCACTTGGCCAAGCAGGGGATGGTGAACTGCAGAGAGCAGCTAAGGGCAGTGACTGTGGGGTAGCTTCTAAGAGGGGCACACTCTGAGCAGAGGGGCTTAGTGTGCAGACAGAGGAGAGGAAAGAGGGGTGTGCCACAGAGAGGGAACCCCAGAGACCAGCCAAGTGGCTTCATCGTGCAGCCCTGCTGATTGTGGCTCCCACACCTCATGTCATGGCTTCTCTGGAGGGCAGACCCCAGCTCCTGGGGACCTGGACAGGAGGCATGGTGGACAAGAGTGTGGCCTCCAACCATTCGTATCCCCTTGGGAGGCCCCAAACAGGGAGGCAGTGTGTGGAGTAGCTGGGAGTGATGTGCAGACTGTAGAACTTGGAGAGAGAACCTGAGCCAGATCCTATCTTGACCAACAGGGCCCCATCCCCACCTCCCAGCCTCGGCATTTCCACCTCTAGGAAGGGAACAAACTGCTCCCACTCATGAGCTGTTGTTAAGATTAATGGGCTAATTAAAGTGTGAAAAATGTTTCTTGTAGACTCGAAAGAGGTGGCTAACCATGGCAAATTAATAACAATTAACACCCCTCCTCCAGGCAGTCTACCTGGACTGGGTTCACTGGGCAGTTTTTCCTCGCAAGAATGGCAGGAAGTCTGTGCTGGCCTTTGCAGGGGTGCCCGAGTTCTGCTCTGTTCCCCAGAGTCCTACAGACTCTTCCCAACAACCAGACCCACCCCTTGCCTGACCCCAGGCTCTGTGCTCACAGAACTCAGTCCCTGAGGCAAGGATAACTGATGTGCCTTTTAATATCTTTAGCATCAATTGTGTTCTAGGCTCTGTAGCAAGCCTTCTCTACACAACACAATGCCCTGAAGGATGCGCTGTGAAGGTCCCCTTTGACAGATGGAGAAATGCAGAAGAGTCACAAAGACAAGGGGGAAGCCAGGACTCCAAATGGTTATCCCAGTGAACCCCCGCCCTGTGCGTGCAGCAAGGCTAGATGGTCAGATGAGGGTGGAGGACCAGGGAACCCTACCCTCAAGTCCCAGTGCTCCCCGCTGGCTGCTGCTATTGCTGTGAAAGGCTTGGTGGGGGGGATGGTGCCACCTCCCCCCTTCACACTCCCCTGCTCCCTCCCTTGCGTGGAGGCGAGACTGACTCAGCAGACACCCTGGGGCCCCTGACGCCAAATTAGAGCCAGAGCCCTCCTAGAAATCATCCACTCAGCAAAGCCTCCTTGGAGCTGAAGTCCGAGGAGACACAAGAAACTGGGGGGAGGGGAGGGAAAGCATCTGCCTTGCATGGAGACCTGCTGGGGCCTGTCCATGCAGCCCCTCATCAAACAGCATTCTCCAGACCCCAGAATACTGTCCCCAAAATGCTTATTCATTGCAGAGCACAACCAGGCCCCCAAACCCTGAGCTCGACCACCCACAGCACCCACAGCCTAACTCATGCCCTGGCTTGTCCCTCACAGGCAGGCCCACAGCTCTGCCCCCTGCTCAGTGAGGGACCTCCAGGGTCCCCGAGCCCCACTCCTGACTAGTTCCTAGGCCAGCAGCTCCCAAACACCAGCAGCTGCTCCCCAGCATTAGTAAGCCTCACCCCGTCCGACCTAGGAACCACTCTCCTCTTTTCTTCCCTGAAAGCTGATCCCAACCCCCTTCTGCATTCTGCAACTCAGAAGCACCCCCAGGAACATGGCTGGAGGAGGGCAGGGGCTCCAGGAGATGGAAGAGGAGAAAGAAAGAAAGAAAAGATGGCAGAGAGGGCCAAGCAGAAGGAGACAAGGCCTCTGGAACCTGCCCCGCATACATTTCACCCTCCGGTCCTCTCCTCATCCACCACCCCAGACATGCACTGCTTACCTCTAGGGGGTGCAGGCAGGCTCAGGGACTCTTCAGAGGGACACCTGCAGAGAGACAGCAGAGAAGGGGTGAGAGCACGGTCAGATGGAGACCTGCAGACTCTTCACCCAGAGGACCCGTCTGGCGATCAACCCCACCCAGCCTCTGCCCCGCAGCCCAGGACAGAGGGAGTAGGAGACTGGGCAGCCCAGGGGTGCCAGACTCACTGCACAGAGTTAAGAATGCCCTTTTCTGTAAGTCAAGTACCCTGCTGCAGCTGGCTGGGGAGGGGCCTCAGGAGAGATGGAGTTACCCCAGAGGGTTCCTGCTGCAGGCCCAGAGCTCCACGTGGGCCCTGAGGCACGCGCACATAAGCAGAGAGCAGCTTCCCCTCCTACCTGTACCTGTGGGTTCTCTGGCCCCTGGACACACAGGACTGAGCCTCAGATTCTCCCTCCTGGGGTCAGATGTGGTGGCCAGAGGGAGCACCCAAGCTCTTTCTTTCACCTTTAAGTGGCACCTTGACCTGGTCATCTCAGCTTTGTCACCAGTTCACCCCATGACCCTGGGCAGGCCCACTCCCCTCATTGGGCCTTGACTTCCCCATCAATACCAGTGGGTGAATCAGAGTTGCCTGGAGGGCTTGTGAAAACACAATGTGCTGGGCCCCACCTCCAGAGTTTCTGATTTCAGCAGGTCCAGGATGGGGCCCAAGAATCAGAATTTCCAAGAAGCTCCCAGGCGATGCTGACGCTGCCATTTGGGGATCACACTTTGAGAACTGCTCGTCTAGTTGTGTCTGGCCTGCAAAGTGCATAGTCCACGCCCTCAAGGAGTTCACAGGCTAACCGAGGAGACCACACGTATATGCACACACCACTGACTCAAGGAATGTGGAAATGTGGCTTATAGATCACAGAAGGAAATGTGGCTTATAGATCTACTAGTTTTGGGCTATGGGCCAGTGCAGTCAGGTAAGGCTTCCTGGAGGAGAGAAAGGCCTAATTTACCTTTCATTACATATTGTAGTCTTATTCCTATATAAGTAATACAGGCATATCTTGCTTTACTGCACTTTACAGTTATTGTTTTTACAAATTAAAGGTTTGTGCCAACCCTGCATTGAGTAAGTCTATCAGCACCATTTTTCCAACAGCATTTGCTTGCTTCATGCCTCTGTGTCACTTTTTGGTAATTTTGCAATAGCTGAAACCCTCCACTAGCAAAAAGATTATGACTCACTGAAGGCTCAGATGATGGTTAAAATTTTTTTAGCAATGAACTATTTTTTAATTAAGGTATGAACCTGGTTTTTTTCAGCCATAATGCTATTACTTAATAGACTGTAATATAGTGTAAACATAACTTTTATGTACACTGGGAGACCAAAAACTTCATGTGACTCACTTTACTACAATATTCATTTTATTGTGGGGGTCTAGAACCAAACCCACAATATCCCTGAGGTGTGCCTGCACATGAAAGCTTTCTCTTGTTAAAGAGCTTCAGATACAGATGCTGTTGTTGTTTAGTCGCTCAGTCATGTCCTACTCTTTGCCACCCCATGGACTGTAGCCCATCAGGTTCCTCTGTCCATGGGATTTCCCAGGCGAAAATACTGGACTGGGTTGCCATTTCCCTCTCTAGGGGATCTTCCCTACCCAGGGATTGAACCCACATCTCCTGCATTGCAGGAGGATTCTTTACCACTGAGCCACCAAGGAAGCCCTTCAAATACAGATACCTACAGGGTAAACATATTCTCACTCACAACCACAGCTCCAGAGGTCTTGACTGCCCATCTGGTGTGAAACTTTCACTAAGCATTTGCACAGACATACAGAGAGGTGCACAAGTGTTTATATATAGAACAAACCCGCGGTTACACACCAGGCAGGAAAGTGTCTGTGCTAGTGTATAATCAGGTTCCTCACTTAATAGATTTTGGAAAACTTTCCCTATCTATATATAAAGATAATAATGATCACTGCTTGTATTCACTGAGCACCTACTATGGGCCAGATACTGGGTTGAGCACTATATGTATTAACCCATTTAATTATCGTAACACTCCTCTCCCCGAGATGGGGGCTGCTGTTAGCCTAATTTGTAGAGGAGAAAACCAAACTGCAGAGTAACCTGCCCAAGAACGTCCAGCCCAGGGAGTGGCTGAGCACATGAACACCAGTGTCCACGCTCCAAACGGAGCCCCCCCCTCCCATGCTCAGTGCTACATGGAGGAACTCCACTCAGGGACAAACGCTCACCTACTTAATCAGACCTCCCAAGATGAGTGCTTAGGGAGTTCCAATTTTTTATTTCCATTGCTAGGGAAAAGCCTGCCTCTTTGTACACATGCATTCCTAAAAAGTAGGTCAAAAGGTGTACACATCTTACTTTTTTCTTGCAGGGGGAGCACTTCTCAGTTCCCCAATCAGGGATCAAATCCACACTCCCTGCAGTGGAAGTTGGAGTCTTAACCCCTGGACCAGAGGGGTGAGATCTCAGGGTATACACATTTTAAATTTGGATACACTACCAAATTGTCCTCCAAAAATGTCTATGCCAACGCCAGGCTGACTATTCCCTGGCGAATACCTACTGAAGAACAATTCCCATTTATTGAGTACATTACTAGTTGCCAGATCCAGTAACATCTGGGTTGTCATTTCTATTTTGCAGATGTGGAACGGAGGCTCCGAGAGGTTAACTTTATCACCCAAGGTCACGCATCTGATAAAGAACGTATCAATTTTCTTTGATATGATGGAGGAAGAGAGAGAGGGAGGAAAAAAGGTTGGGCGAGAGGGAGAGACGTTCCTTAACCCACATGACCCACATGCCCTTCCATCCTTCTGCTCCCATTTATAGCAAAGGTCTCGAGCAGTCCCTACTCAGCGTCTCAGCCTCCGCTCCCTCACTTCCAGCTCTTCCTCACTCCCTCTCCAGTTGTGCTTCCACTCCGTCACTCCACAAAACTGCTCTTCTCAAGGTTCCCAGAAACCTCCGTTTTGCCAAACCCAGCAGTCACCCTGATGGAGCTAACTGCTTCCTCCTACAGGAAACACTGAGCTCCCAGAATTCAGCCTCTCCTGGTTGTGCTCCCAGGCTTTCCTCCCTTCTCACCCAACCTGCCTCCAAACATCCAAGGCCCCAGGGCTGGCAGGGCTCTCTGCTCTCTCCTGTCTAATTCCCTGCTCTCACCTGGTCTCTGTAGCTTTAAATCCAGCCACGCCCCCCAATCTCTCTCCAGCCCCAGCTCTCTCCTGAGCACCAGCTGCGTATATCCACAGGCCTATTTGTCATCTCCACTTGCTCATCTAAGAGACCTGTCCAAAACAGAACTCTTAATTTTTATCCCCAAAATTACATCTCCCTCAAGTCTTGACTCCTCTCTGCCTCACCCCACACCCAAGCCATCAACACACCAGGTCAGTACAACCCCGGAAACACATCCCAAACCTACCTGCTTCCCCTGTTCCTCTGCTCTTGCCCTCATCAGCCCTTGCCTGGATAACTGCAGCAGCCTCCTGCCTCTCCGGGCTCCCTGATCCCACCCTGGTCCCAAACTATCACAGCAGGCACATAATGGTACAGACAGAATCCTTTGCTCTCCAGCCATATGCAAGGGGTCTCCATGGCAGAGAGAATCAAGTCCAAACTGTTCAAAGTCTGCCCACCATGGCTCAGAATTCACCTTGAACCACAGTCTGGCCCCCTCCCACACCAGCCAGTTTCGGGGACTCTGTCATTGCTGCTCCTTCTGCCCAGAATGCTATTTCCCCAGACCTTCTTATCATCCTGTTCAAATGGGACCTCCTCTATCTTCCCTGGTCACCCCCAGCCACCCCAACCTCTCCCATCTTTCATGGATTTTATCCCTGCTGCTGCTGTTTAGTCGCTTCAGTCATGTTGACTCCTTGCAACCCCATGGACTGCAGCCCGCAAGGCTCCTCTGTCCATGGGATTCTCCAGGCAAGAATACTGCAGTGGGTTGCCATGCCATCCTCCAGGGAATCTTCCCAACCCAGGAATCAAACCCAGATTTCCTGCATTGCAGGCAGATTCTTTACCGCTAAGCCTCCAGGGAAGCCCCAGACTTTATCCCTATCTGACATTATCTTGTTGATTTACTCCTTGTTGTTCATGCATCTCCTCATCATAAGATGAACCCAGTAAGGCAGGGAGGGACCATATGCATCTTACTCACCTCTGCATCCACCTCCTACCCTGTGCGGTACTCGGCACATAGCACTCAGTAGATATCTGATGAATGAATGAATGAGTGGGCAGAGGCAGCTCTATCTGGCTCCAAGGCCTGTGCTTCTGTTTCCTACACAACCTGCTCCCATATGAAGCAGGAAGGAGCCAGAAGGCAGACCCGGCAGGGCAGGACCCTCTGAGCAAAGGCAGGGAGGTGGGCGCAAAGCTGAGACAAAGCCAGTTGGAGTGGCGGATGCACACTGGAGAGCAGCAAGGCCTGGGGCCTCCCTGGCATGCCAAGTCCAGCAGCCCCTACCCCAGGGGGGAACTGGGGCCCTCACACCTGCCAACCTGTCCCATTCAGGAGGGAGCCTTGGGGGGCGGCCGGCAACTGAGCGCGACTGGCGGGGGGCCAGGATGGCTGCCAACAGCTGGCGCTGCTGCCAGGCAGCCAAGTAATCGTGTTAGCCAGCGGAAATTGGTCCAGGGAGTTTTTTTCCTTCGCCTCCCGTTTTCTTTCTCTTCTCTTCCCCCTCGGAGCTGCAAGACTCGGAAGATTGATCTTTGCCTGAAACGGAGGAGATAACTCGATATAATGAACTCCTCTGTCCCTCTTGCTGTTTGGAGCTTTTAAAAAATTTAAAAGGGCTGGGGACAAAAAAGCTCATCCTCAGGGTTCTCTGGGGCTGCTCATCCTCCCTTGGAAGCCCCCACCTCTGTTCATGCCCCTCTCCCGATTCTCCACCTGCCTCCTTCCCCCTTCTTTTTCCCTTGGGATGCCTTGATGGAACAAAGGTTAAAAATATCCCCTTTCTCTCGCAGGTTTTAAAAATAATTTTGTTGAGGTCAGGACTGGATCGGC